CCCCCACCGTCCCCCCCCGTCTTATCCGCCCTCCGCGTTGGTGGGCCACAGTATGTGCGAGGGAGGAACACTGACCGTGGGCGTCGCGTCGGACTCGATGCTCAAGGCAAAGTCCAACGCGAAAATGCTCTCGAGTCTTCCCGAGCGATTGGCGGGCGTGACGAATTTCCTGAGGTACTATTGTACTATACGAGGCTTCGTCTTTTGGTGGAGGGGGATCGAGGCTTTTTGCGCTTGTTCGACAGCGTTGTTTGTCACCTTTCTGAGTACGTCACGGCGGCGGGGTCGGAGGGGGATTGTGATGACAAAAGGATCGAAGAGGGAGAGGCAGGGCTTGGCTTCTCTCGTGTGCGAGAGTGTTGAGTAAGCTTGGGCGTCATCTGTCTGCCTCAGCACCAACAACTGCTCGTAATTTGGTGTTCTCACAACGCCCCCCCCTCCCCCCCCCTCCCTCTCCACCATTATTACTTCGCCACGAAACGAAAACGGAATAGAACCCTGAACCCTCAGATGCGAACACGGGTGGAGGGGATCACGGACCCATTTGGCCCCCCCGCTGTCGAGGAGGCGTTCGACGCGATCGTTGTGAGCTCGGAGACGGTGCTCGGGGCAGAAAAGATCAACGCGCTTCGCGCGCAGAAGGGATTCCGCCCCCTGGCGGTGGCGGTCACAAGGCGGCTGGCCGCGGCAACGTTGAGCTCGTCGTATTTGCGGCGAGCGGCGGAGGAGAAGCAGAGAGACATGCAGCAGCAGCAGCGGCAATAGCCGGTGGCGTCCTTCGAGGGAAGAAATCAAAAACGGCGGCGATGTGCAACCTGCGTGAGGGACAACGAGGAGTAGATAAGATGACCTTATTTTAGTCTGAGCATCGAGTTGGTTGGAAATAACGCGCCGTCGGTCATGTAGTTAGGTACTATAGTATGCACATCCCAGCTGCTTAGGGGTGGTAACGCAGCTTGCCTCGGGCAACCGTGCTGGTCCTCTGAAAGATCTCGTCGGTATCTTTTTGAAGATGGTGTAGAAGAGCACAGGTGACATGAAGATTCGCACACAGCCAGTCAATACCAGTGTGCCAAAGAATTCTATGCGTGCTTTCATTCTTGTTGCATCCGCACGACCACGGTGTTTGTCAGGGAGAGAGCGGTAAGCAAAAACTGGCAAACATCGGTGAACACTCAAGCTGACGTAGAGAGCGCAGACGAGAATTAGATTCGCACATGCATGCAACCACAATCAATCGGTGCGGCGTACCCAAGAACGCTCACTTTTATTCTTCTTGCATCCTACAGCGTTCGATCTCACACGCATCATCTGCGGGTGCGCGAGGCAGAAAAAACAGAGACCAAAACGCGAGTCGTATCGGTTTTCATCTTTGCGGCGAAAGTTTGCTGAGCTGAGTTTCGAATCAACTGGGGCTTTCGGTATTTAGGGTCCCACTAAGCTTGGTTGGGGGCCAGCAGCACCCGCCCTTCTTCGGTGCTTGCAGCAGGAGAGAGGTGTCGTGACTTGTGCAGGGGGTGCGGGAAGCACACACACGAGGAGACGGTTTACCTTCGAGCTAGCTCGTTTTCTGTCGATGCGAACTCGCGATGTGTTCAAACGTCATGGGCTACTGATCGACCGACTTCCACCAGGGCCAAACGGTTGGGATCTCTGCGACAACGATAGTAATGAGGGTAATTCCTTTGGGAGTGACGGAGACGAAAGAAACGGAAAGGGAAGAAAGTAGGACGACGACGACGATGGAGGAGGAAAGCATGCAGGAGTGGAAGAGAGCAAAGGGTTTGAGCCAGATGACTTCCCCAAAACAAAAAACGTAGGGCTAGGGAAGAACTGCCCAGAGATTCTTGTCAAAATGAGTATCAAAACGATGGTAGCCAACACGAGGAGGATAATGGTGAAAGTACTCCTAAAAGAACCCGAGTACAAGGTAATAGCCTTGGTAGACGCGTGCAGTCTTTTTCTGTTGCTTCTGTTTCTGTCTTTGATCCGAAGGATAGTTTAGCCTCCCCCATCCTGCCCCCTCACGGGCTCCCAGTTCATGGCAGATAGAAGTGTCATGGGTTTTCAACCGCACCAAGAGTGACGTCTTTTCATTGGTCGGCCGGTTAGCGCGGTCGATGCAAATAAAAAGAACACACACGAGGCGAGGCACGAGGTACGCTCTCGCTGTCCAACCAACAGATGTTTTGGGCCCGTCACCCATAATTACGTCCGTCGCAAATGTTTCGTTTCGCCTGCTGCCGCTGCTGCTGCTGCTGCTGCTACGCATTATGATTTCGCCCTTAACACGCTCGTAGCTAGCCCTCGTAAGGAAAGATCGATTGTGTCGAACCTGACCCGAGCTCGTGTCGGGCACGCAGCAGCGAGGGCGGTTCTACTGCGGTATGCTTCGTGCGGGTGGGCGTCTTGTTGATGTTGGCCTGTTTTGCTGTAACCCGATGGTTCCGCTTTGCGCTTTGCTCGACGTTGCGAAAAGATGAATGTACGGGTGTCCCAGATGCTACGGCTAAAACAGATTTGTGGATGCTGTAAAGAGAGGAGGATTAAAACGCGCGGCCGCCACGAGCGAGGTCACAAGGACATTCAACGGACGGTCTTTTTGTTTGTTTGTGGCCTCGCACTCCAACCCCTTGCCTGTGCTTTAGCTTGAACGACCGAGGAGCCGTCGGCCGTCCTCCCGGTACAGCCATCTACCCTCGAAACACGTCGCTCAATGTGTGCCGTGATGATAGTGATGGCCGCTTCTTTATTTATTGTTGCGTCTTCCACGAGAGGGTCTGTCCGTCCACAATCACGCTTCAGCTGCCGCGAAACTCGGTTCCTTTGCCTTGGCATTTATCTATTCTCAACCTACACATGGCCCAGACCCATATCTCTTATTACGTTCTTCGGCCTTTGTAGCCGCCGATGGTTTGTCGGACCTTCTCTATTTCTCGAGCCTATTTGTAGCCATCGATGGTTTGTCAGACCTCTGTTCTTGAACCTATTCGTAGTCGTTGATGGTTTATCGGACCTACTCTACCTCTCAAGCCTACTTGTATTTGTCGTCGCCGATTGTGTTTGTGAGACCTTCTCTATTTCTCGAACCTATTCGTAGTCGCTGATGGTTAATCAGACCTTATCTATCTCTCTCGAATCCTATTTGTCGACGGTTTGTCAGACCTTCTCTATTTCTCGAATCCTACACGAGAGCGTTTTTGTGAAACCGAAAGTGGAACGCTCTATTTATACACCACGTGCTTGCTCGGGCCGTCGTATACTACCGAGTTTGGGTTGTTACAGGCCGCTGCGCGCTATCAAGTCCCGGAGGCGCTGATAGTAGTCGTAGTGGTCCCTGATCAGCTGCTTGTCGCTGACTCCTGGCGGGTTTCCTGTCCGCCTCTCGAAGTCTCCCTCCCAGACCCGGATGGCCCGCTTCCATTGCTGGCGGGGTGGGTCCCACGTCACGCGAAAGCACGGGTGAGCGAGAACCGTTTAAGGCAGAGCCAGCCGGAAGGGCGCCGCGTGCGTTTGACGAAGGACGACGCCCAGCGAATACAGGATTGTTTGCAACATTAGCGGTATGCCGGCAAAGTATGCAATAATAGCTGTGTCACCCCATCGGGTCATGCATCGTGTCGACTTGAAAGCACGCTCTACCCCATCCTACGAATACCTTTAGAAGAGGCCTTAATGGGTTGGTGAGGACGAACCACTCGTACGACGACACGAGAAGGACGCCTTTTTTTCGAGGGGACGAGAAATGGGGCAATGTTAACTCACAAGACAGAGGCCCTCGACTGCCCCCAACTAACACACCTTTCGACACGCGTCTGCTGCGTTGACGTCGGACCCACCGCCGTCGCCATGACCGCCGCCCGGCGACGGTCCGCCTGTCGCCAGAATCTGTTTCGTGGCGCGGGTCAGCGTCACGAGGCTCGCGGAAGCTCCGGGGGTCAGCGACAGAGACGCGTCATCGTCCCTCCTGGCGCTGACACTTTCGTGCGTGCTGGCGGCGATGCCACCGCCGTCTGAGGGGCCAGGAGCGGGTAGTGTTTCTAGAGCGGCCCGGAGTTTCTTGTAGAACCCGTACCACTCACTGTTTTTCTGTCGCGTGAATATCATGCGATGCCCAGGGACATTTTGAAGAACCGGGCGTAGGTCGACATAGATGAAGAAATGAACCTTGGGAATCATGACAGTTCTACCGATCGCTTTCTTGTCATTGTTGCGCTGTGAAGGAGTGAGTGAAAACTGTTCCGCTTCAACCATTTCGTGTTGTTTTCGCCGTGGGTATAGCTGCAGGCATTCCACAGCAGTGCATGCTATTACCACAACGTCATCCGTTTCACACTTCGTCACACTGGCAGTGAAGGTGCGTGTGTGACCCAAAGAAACGCAGTGCTTTTGACCGACCTCTTTGTCGGACAGGAGAGGAGGGTGTCCGTGGGCCTCCTCGAACTCCCGCTCGCTCTTCTGAATTAGGCGCTTCCACTGTGTAGTTGAGAAAAGTCGAAGTCGAACAGATTTTGTGGTTTTCGGGCAGGGACGTGGGGACGAGGCAAGCCTTCCGTGCAGCGACATGATATGGGGAAAGCGCCACTTTCACCTTTCTTTGAACAGATGTTCGCAAGCGCTGCTGTGATTTGAAGGGCTCAAAATCATAGTGCCGACACCATGAAGTACATGCACACTATCGTGTCACTTACGCAAGCACCACAACTACTTTATGATCGTGGAACGCCAGAGGGCAACCACCCTCGGCATACGAGTGTGTCTAACATCCTAGAACAGCGACGACCCGTCCGCCTCTTCTTTACTCCACCCCCGAGTCGAGATCTCGGCCAACCTCGACCGCAACAAAGTGGTATCACCTGCATGCATATGGTTTTCAGGCTTGCTCGTGAATCCGCCGTGAGTGACCGGCTGAAGATTCGTTCGGTTTCGTCCCGGAGGCGGAGAACGCTCGCCGCGGACGAGTCGCGGAAGTCGCGGTGGTTGAGGAAGGCCGAGACGGCAAACAGCTTGATCATTACCCGTTTCTGACGGTCGGTCATGAGCGCCTGTTGTGCGGGCGCGTAGGGTTGAATGAAAAACGATCGATCAGCGCCAAAATGTGAGGAAACCGAGACAAATGACGGCAGGTGTACACGGATGGGGCAAGCAGTGGGACGTCATACACTTCAAAAGCAATACTCCGACGTAGCATATATCCTCGTTGCAGCGTTCGATTCCCGATGTTTCCCTCTCCCCTCAAAACGCCCACTTCGACGTTAATCCCGTCCAAAACCTTCCACACGCGCACACGACTGCGCTGACTCACCTGAGCCCTCCTTCGCCTTTGCATGCCGGCAACGACGGTCGGGTCAAGCAGCGCTTCCTCAAGCGCCTCGGTGAGGCCTCCACCCTCCTGCTTGACCCGGTAAGCCATGCGAGCATGAACGAGGGCGAGCCTCTCTAGCGCCGCCCCGAGCGCCGGCTCCAGGGCGCTGTCCTCCGCCTTAGCCTCCGCCCAGATAGCTCGCACGTGCCTCATGAAGGCCTCCAGGGCACGAACGGGCTCGAGCCCCCTCGGGCACATTTCGCACTGGAAGCGGAACTCTCTGGCCCTCCGGATAGCGTTCACCCACTCTCGCCGCCGCGGGTTGCTGGCCAGGGCAATCAGCGTCGCCCGCGTCGGCCACCGATCAGGATGCACCAGAGGGCCTGGGGCCGTGGTATGGGCATCGTTCACGCCGGCTTCAGCTGCCGGGGTGTCGTGCAAGTCATGGGTGGTGGTCATGACCCCGCTGCCAACGGCGGCAGCGCTATCAACGGAGGAGGAGTCATCGTTTCCAGAGGCAAGGGCGGCGCGATTTCTTCGTGCTGCCTGCAGGACGCGTGTCTTGTGACGGCGGCGCGCTAGCTCTTCCTCGATCGGGGGCGCGATGACCACCCCGACGGCGATTGCAGCGGCGGCAAGGTTAGTTGCCGTCATAAGCCTGAACAGACGGCTTGCCACGAGCAAGGACCCTCGGACGCCATACCCGGTCATCATTCCCAGCAGTGCGTCTAGCCAGAGTGTTGCGTGCAAGACGTAGTGGAGCCTGTTGTCGGCCAACGAGAGGGTGTGAAGAGGAGGTCGCAGTAAACGTTTTGACCAAACGAGGCGGGAACGTTGTGGGAATGGATGAAAGAGCTGTTAGAAGAATGTGCTCTCTACGCAGTAGGTATCAGTGATCTTGGTGATGAAGCTGCTTTTACCGTGGGTGTGCCAAACAAGATAATATAGTAACACACGCGGGCTGTGCGCTCTCTCTGTACACGTTTTCCCCTTCCTTGATTGCAATGTTCGACTCCGAAAGTGCAGTCGATTCCACAAGCTGCTGTATTGTCCACAACGAACTACGGTTGGTCGTATTGTAAGCTTTTTGTCTCCGCCCCAGCTTGTATACCACCGCACGCCACCGCACGAAAAAAAAAATCGACTAAGCACTCGAAATCTTTAGGTCGCAACCTGCGAAGTGTTACCTGAACCTGAGAAGTGTTACCTGTTGGAGCTACGGCATCGATAAGGAGGGTGCGTGCAGCTCCACAAAGACCAGAACGTGATGAGCCCCCAGAACATGACCGCTTGATCCTCCAGGTTCGACCGGCCAAAGGCATAGACGAGAACCAGGGCCAGCTTTAGATACATCATGTACACCCTTGTGTGGGAAGCGAAGGAAAGAAGATGGACGGAACAAGTGAGCGGTGGTCCCTGTGCGTGTTGGAACATTCAATGCCGCTTGTGTGTCGTTGCACTGTTCCAATTTCCCGTCGTTTCGAGGAAATAGATGGGAATAGCCTGCGCCATGTGTTGGTACAGCAGTATCCCGTTCAAAGCGCAGTCGAAGTGGTCTTCCGTGTATTTGTATGAGCCATTAATCACTGGCCAGAGGAGGACTACATGTAGCCATATTGGACGGTCCCGGTCTTGGTACCAATATGTGCTTGCTCGAGTGTAGGTATCGGTAAAGAAATAGTAGTTCTTCCCCAGAGGCCAGGAAGATGCCTTGCCCATTGTTGATCTCCCGCTACTCACACTCTCAATCGTTTCCAATATGATCTGCTTTAGTGTAGAAGTGAAAAGTACACCTCGTGTGCGAGAGGGCTGGGGATGTTTCAAGTGGACTCGACGATGAATGTTCGCGGTCTATTTCTTACAGCTGTATCGCCAGCTCACCTGTACAGAACCGCATGCCGACGAAAGCTGCAGACCATCCACAGATGGTCTGCCTCCCACCCATTGCATAGGTTCAGAGAGTACTCAATCTCCACTCGCTGCAAAAACCTCTCGTGGTCAGACTTGCCACTGTACGTCGTCACGGCGTGCGCGGCATCCCTCGTATGCCTCTTCAGATTCAGCGTGAAAGCAATGATCACGCCGCACCCTAGCATCGCCGGCAGCACCAAGGACGCGCTACGGCAGCTGATGGTAGGGTCGACGGACAGTGTGCCGTCACCGTCGCAAAGCAGAAGACGGATGACCGCAAGCAGCACGGGGAGATACAGGAGGTGGGCCGATAGCAATAACGCCCGCTCGAACACGACAAGGGTGCTGACTTCCTTCGCGCCTGGGGGTGAAGGCCTGCTTTCGCCCACAACGATGAAATGGAAGAGCACCCTTCGATCTAGCCACAAGCCGGCGAGAACTTTCCGGAAATACCATAGCGTTTGTATCCCGACCGGCACCATCGTAAACAGGAACGCGTAGAACACGTAGCCTTCGCGCTCCCCCCACGGGGAAGAATAGGTGCCCGGCCCTGTCACCGTCATTGCCGCGTCGTGGATGCTCACCACGTCTAGGTTAGCTACAACTGTCCATCGAGTTGCGGTCAGCCAAGGTCGAGGCCAAGGCCAGGGCTGGCTCAAGGACCACATGAGCGCGTACACCTGGAGCGTGTCGACCACAGCCAGCAGCTTCTCCATCCAGCGGAGGTCGATCCGACGAAGTCGGCTCCAGTTTATGCCAAGTTCGTCGAGCCTCCCTCTTGAAAAGTTGATGCGGTCTTGTTCGGCGGCCTGGGCGGCAACAGACGATTCGGCCATCCCTCGCTGAGTGGCATAACGCCCTCCTTCCATTTCGTCCTCTTCGTAGTAGCCTTCATCGTCAGAGTACTCCACGCTCTCTAAGCTACGTCGTCGTTGCGCTTTACCACGAAACATCCCTCGCCAGACACTACATGTACTGGTATCCAAGCGGCGGTGTGGCGTACGTGGGGAGATCGCAGGGAATATTTGATGGCCATGTGGCGGAGGCGCGGAGGTGGACGGTGAGAGTCGAGAATGGAGAGTTAACGGTTACATGCAGCGGCGAGATTACCGCAGCGCGGCGAAACAAAAAAAGAAAAAAAAAAGTTCAGACCAGGCAAGGTTATCTTGGCTGGCCGTCCCCGTCCCGACTTGTTACCTTGTTACAATGCAGCAAAACCCTTATGTATTGTAGCTCTTTTCAGTTTTTTGGCTATCGACCCGTACACGTGTGTTACCTTTTCTTCAGAAAGATCTAAAATTGAAAAGGGTGCACAAACACAGCATTATTATCGTTGGAAAACGACAACGAAAGATTGAGGGCGAGCTTCACGTCCATACCGCCGTTCTTCTCACAGAAGAATAAGGCGCCATATTATCCCGACGTTTCATGAAAGACACTTGTCAGAAAACTACACGTCATCGTCGCTTAGACGCGTCTTTGTACAAGCCCAACATGCCACCATGCACAACACACTGCTGCTGCCGTTCACGTGTCGCCGCCCTTCCACGTCTACCTGTCCATGACACATGCTGCCACTTGATGCGACAACATCTGGGAACAACACGGACACAGGGAGTACTCCCCCTAGACTACCCATACACAACACCCGTCAAAACTGCTTGTAAAGCTAGAACAACCTCTCATTCCTCTCTTTCCACATTCTTTTCTTTGCTTTTTGTCTTTTTGTCTTTTTCTCTCTTTTCTGTGGCAGATGGCCTTGTCTCTGCTTGCGTTGCGATGTACCAAGATTGAACTAAGGGGGTGTACCATATTCTCTCCGGCCCGTGATGGTGACTCTTAGTCTCAGTTGTTACCTCGTACAGCGCGCAGAGGGAGTGGAGGACTCTAGAATATCTGTCGTTGATTTCTATTGACTTGCGGACCCCTCGGGTCAATTTTATTTGAGTGTACCTTTTTAGGGTAAATCAACCTGCGACTACGGGAATCGACCGCGTCGAGTGTTGGATCAGTGCGGACATGCGAAGGCACTGGGTAGAGGGAGATCGGAACGGTTTTTAATGTGAAGACAACAACAACAACATACAAATGATTTCGATGTATGAAATGATACACTCTGTCTATACTTATGGTTCGCGCTGCCTACAAATAAATGGCAAAGGTAGCTATACCTTCTGCCGACACACGGGCGAGAGAGGCGACCATACCCACTGCATTTAACACACACCCACATGTCAGTGATGAAACCCCAACCACACGCCTCTATCGGCGGCCACGTCAGGAGGCAATGATGAGATAATGTTCTCCCGTGCCCTTCTCACTTTGAACGACATGCCATTAGTCTACACAACAAGGTCTTGTAGGTAAGTACGCGACCTGTTAGGATTCAATTCCGGGCAGCAGCTATGAACCATCATGTTACTGTATCATAGAAAACCGTCCCACACAACACATCCCTGAGTCCCGTCTCTGGGGTATTTTAGAGTTTTTTTTTATTTTCTTAATATCACACAAAAAATCCATCTCTATCTATAGAAGTAGGTCTAAGATAGATTGGCAATGAATCCATAGCGTGAGCGAAAGGCTACCTGTATGTCTACGGTTTCCCAGACAGCATACAACGATAACTCCCCTGTGGGTAACAGGCTCAACAACAAGGTTGGTTGTGACCCAGGTTTTGCTTGCTCATGGTTGCTATACTTTCCACACGCGGCGGGGAGGGTAGCATAGACTCCCGCATGACCAGCTACCCATGACACCTCCTCCCGGGGTTCCACATGGTGACCTTTAGAAGTATTTTGTGGTTTCAACCGCACTGAGACTGGCGTCTTCGCATTGGTCAGTAGCACGGTTGATGCAAACAACAACAATACACGTACGCATGCACGTCTGTCGCAAACGTATGTCTGTACGTTTGTGCCATGGGGACATCGAGCGGCGGCCATGCAAGTCGAACTTCACTTAGGTTGCCAACAACAATGTTGTAAATGAGAGCCCGTCTTTCATGGTGGCGCCAAAGGCACAAACTGCAGCGTGTATCAGCGTCTCAAGAGGTTATGCAGCACATTTTCAAGTGTACCCACCATAACTACGTGATGGGGCCATCGTGACAAACGAAAGAGAAGAAATTGCATTCGGTGACTTGTACTTACGTTGAACAACGTCTACTCCACCCGTAAACACGTCGCAACAATAAAAACCCCGATACTGCTGCTCCTTTTACTGCCGTACCAAAATAGGGTCTTAAAACTCGCTGGCTTCAGGGTAAAAGGTACACCGGGTACCGCGAGACGTTCGTGTTCAACACTGCAGCCTCCGGATACCCAACAGCCACAAGTCAGTTGCGAACCGTTCTTACTTTCACTCATGGGACGAGCACGCAGTAATGTGCCCAAGCGCAGCATTTCGCAGTCCTTCGTTCGTTGGGTTGGGTACCTCCGGACAACATGTGCGCACCCAATCGTGAGCTACACGTGCCCCAATTCTCGTGAAAAAAAATGCCTGAGAAAAAAAGGGCAAAGCAACGTTTCACTGCTACCGTACACGAGGCGCCAGCAGTGCTTGTACACAACAGAGCTCAGACAAGAACGCAGAGTCAATATGGGACAACCACCTAACGTCCCTCCCTCGCCCAGCATGTAGTCGGACGAAGACGAACCAAACAAACTTCCAAGTGCACAGCAGTCCTGGGGTAAGCCTGCGAACCACCACCACAAATTGTTTCGTCTTTGTACCTCTACTGTAGTGTGCTATCTACAATCATAAGGCCGACGGCGCGGCGGAGTCGTAAACCTCCGGAGGGTTCAGCCCTACTCTCAAGGCTGCCAACCTGATTCGCTCTTCTTGTGTCATCTTCTCTCCAGCGTGCAAGTCGAGTAACTCCTGCACACACGGCGAGAAAAAAAAAGGGTGCCGTGAGGCCAACAACCACGCAGGCAGGCAACGTTAAGGTAAGTCCACAGGAGACAAAAAAACGCCAGAGGTAGAGGATGCCATAGGTGCAAAGGGCGTAGGCAGCGGTCTACCGGTGCATGCATACGTTGACAGTTAGCAGCGAGCGAGACGAACAACCTTGTACCGCCTTCCCGCAGTATAGGCCTGTGTGATGCTGCTGATGCTGCTGCTCTTTATTTAGGCATGCAACAAGCTAATGTCCGTCTGCATGAGACGGAATTCTGGAAGCACGGGAGGTTCTGGATGTAAGCCAAACCATCGTTCCAGGCAGCATGTGTCGAGCCCGACCCTGGGTACGTTTGTGGCACCTATAAGAGTCTACCAACCGCCGTATCACATGTCAAGAAAATGACACAGCTCGCAGAGTCAATGGAGTAAGAATACGATGGTCTTCCAAGACTTCTGAGACATGTGTGCTATCCTTTTTAAGTTGAACCTCGTCTGTATTCCCGTAGCCGCCCAGCAGTCCCCATCAGCCACAAAACCCATGACCGCGCTATTGAGGTACTTTTGGCACACCAAAGCTGCTGTTTTCCCGCCATTATTGCGCGATTCGTCGTAAGACTCGAGGATACGGCTGTTGCAGTGAACCCAACTGCCTACAACGCAAGTGTTCAGTCATGTCTCAGAGTGTATTTCCTGCTTGCCCACGACTGCGTCGCTGCAATGGACGACAGCATGCCGGCAAGTCGCCCACGTCTGAGATACTGCACAAAAACCGGCAGCCTTCAACACCATACACAGCGCTCAACCCAAGAGTACCTGCTGTAGAGACCAAATAAATGCTTTCGATGCAGCTGAACCTGCGTCGGGTGGTGCAATGCTTCCACGAGTGGCGGTGGGAGGTTCGCACTGCAGCAAAAGTGGCGGTCTTGGGACTATTGCAATAATGCACAACCAGCACTGTTGCCGCACACTACACACTGAACAGGAAGGCAATACTACAGGAAGGCAGGCCTACGTGGGCCATGGTTTGAGTCACTGGAGAGGCAAGCGAAGAGCGGTACTCCAAACTCGGACTTCAGCTATGAATTTCAATCTACGTCTGAGCTGTTCGCGAGCGTACGGCAGCTAGGACCCAAGCCCTTGTGCTACTGCGGTAGGCAATTTTCGAAACGAGCAATATGTTCATCGAGTTCGGTGCACTACAAGCAGTTCCTCGGATGCTACCGTGGCGGTCCGATTTTCGAAAGCTTCAAGCACACAGCAGTAGTGACCGCAATCAGAGCCTTTGTGAGTGCCTGCGGTCGCCGACTTCAGTGCTCATTCCTCACACATCCTACTTCGCCGGAATCGATCGTAGGCCTAGCCGTAAGGAAAGGTGCTTGAAACGTTCAAAAATGGGACCGCTACATTGACGCCACTGCTTCTAGCTCATCGAACTCGATGGAAAAAAATAGTTTCGAAAATTGCGTATCGCAGATCTCTAGGGGCTTAGATCCTTGCTATAGACAGGAGTTGTTGCGAACTCGCGAGACAAAACCCACTACCGCGATGGTTGATTTGTACTGAAATTCGATCGAGTTTGGATAACTGCTATAATGAGGCGTTCTCTGGGTACAACTCGCGCGCGCCCTTGGCAAAGGGTGGGTCCATCATCCGATTCCGAGCACTTACACGGGCTTGTTCTGCCTCAGATAAACTGGTAACTGAGCAGAGAGGTCGCAATCTACTCAAGCAGCGCTGGCAAAGAGCCAACTTCCCCTGTGCATCTCTGGTCTTGCGCCGGCAGTAAATCTGGGAACAAAACCCGGTGACTTGTGTCTTTCGCCAAGTGCCAGGTAGGCAGCGTACACTGGCCTAGAGAGTAAGCCAAGATTTCAAATTATTTGGCGACTAGAACTGGGTAGAAAACCCAGTGACTGCTGTGCCTTTTGCTAAGTAGGCAGTGCACCCCTGGCCTTCATAGTCAGCCCTGTAGGCCAGTGTATCCTGCCTGCTCAAATCGTACCGCCAGTCCACTGCCCTCCTCCATGCCTGTATCCTCTCGCTGGGATGGCAATCATTGGCGAATGCTACACGCGTTGCTGCGCTCTAATGTAGCTCATGCTCTTTTACAGCTGCAGGGTGGCTTGCTTCTTCGCCTCTCCCGTCGCTCTACGCTACTACTGCGTGCGTCAGTGCTTGGGGTCTCGTGCTCTTGGTTTCTTGCTCTGCCACCAATGTACATACTACGCTGTATTTTGGCCCTCTCACCTTCCTGACTTGCAACGCCGTTACTAGCTGCGCCGCATCGTGGGCCTTCCATCTCAAATTTCTGGCTTCTTCCTTGTCTGTGATGGCCATATTCCCTCGGAACTGCCCCGACGCGCGCCAACACCGAGATCGCCGCGGACATGAGCAAGCAAGGTTAGCCACGAGTCTGGTGGTATGTTGTTGTTGTCTTCACATTAAAAAACGTTCCGACCTCTCTCCACCCAGTACCTTCATATGTCCGTGCTGATCCAACACTTGACGCGGTCGATTCCCGTGGTCACAGGCTAACTTACCCTGAAAAGGTACACTCACATTAACTAGCCGTGAGGGGTCCGCAAGTCAATAGAAGTCAACGACAGATAATTCTGGAGTCCTCCGCTCCCTTTGCGCGCTATGCGAGGTAACAACTGAGACTAGGAGTCAGCATCACGGGCCAGAGAGAAAGAGGTACACCCCCTTGGCTCAATCTTGGTACTTCACAACGCAAGCAGAGACAAGGCCATCTGATACAGAGAAAGGGAGAAAAAAGTGAGAAAAAGAGAAAAAAGAGAAAAAGGAAACAGGAAGGAAGGAGAAAATAAAACCAACAAGAGCGAGGACAACAAGGGACCAGGCCGAAAATAACAAGACATAAGAGACAGAAAAAGGCACACGGAGGAGAGACCACTAACGAACAAGCAAACACGTAAACATGGCCACCAACCAGCGACACATTGTAATGGTACGTCATCACTAATGGGGGGTTGGTGCAATGGTGCAGCGTTGGGGGGGGGAAACGGCTAAAAGAAATTCAATCCGGCACGTATCGCGCTACTCGGTCCGTCTCTTCTCGAGTGCTTTCTTCCCTCGCCGTCTCGTCCGTCTCCTGCTCCCCTCCCGCCCCATTGGTTGTTGGCTTGTGGTCTCGTTTGAGCGCTCGTTGTCGGCTGGCCTCTTCTTCCTTCTCGTGCCAGGAGGTCATGAACCTCTCAGCTCCCTGCACCACCGCCGCATGCCAGGGTACTCCACCTTCGCGACTTCCGTCCGCTTTAACTTCAAAGCCGTGTCTTTCGGTACCGGGATTCCGAGACAACATGGATCGGTTTTCGTAGATCCATGGTCGGCCCAAAATGCCTTCAGGTCGTCGAGCACACACTTCGGCCAGTTCTGTCCCTGTCCCCCCCTACGTCGCTTCCCCCCCGCCGCCAGTTCGCCGAGCATAAGTCGTTTCGGGAGTCGCCCGTCCGGCTACCTTGCCAATGCTCCCGCGAACAGTAGGCGTCGTTGTCGGATCGTGACTTCAACGCTCTGGCATCCGACCCTCTTCCGCGTCTGGGCGTAAGAAAGCTGCCGGTAGGTGTCTTTCTTGCGCTTGTACCCGATAACTCGAAGGAGCAGTCGGTGGTGTATCGACCGCAGCGTTTGGTAGTGGCCGCTGAGGGGTGACCATGTCATGCAGCCGTACAGCAGTGCCTCCATCGCCTCCGCCTGGAGCAGGCGGATCTTGAGTCGGAATGGCTCTTTCGGTCTGTCGAAGAGCTCCCGGCCGTATCGCCTGAGGCACGCCCACGCTCCTCTGCTACTGCAGTTGATCTCCCGGGTGAGGTCGCAATGTTCGTTGACGAGGCACCGGAACTCGGTCGTCTGGGCGTATTTCTGTCCCGCGGCTTCGATGGTCAGCGGTGGAGGCGGGGGGGGCTGTGGTGTTGTGGTCGGCTTGTCCTTCCCGCGAATCAGGAGCGTCTCCGTCTTTTTCTCCGATACCGTCAGCCCGAACTCCCCGAACACCTCAACGATGATGGATAGACGGTTGGTGATGATCTTGATGGGCACCTTGCCTACGTGAGATAGTAGCGAAATCCCCGTGTAGCTGTTACAGTTGGACCGGTCACCCTTCTTGTACAGCACCTTGATGGTTGCATCCTTCCACTCTTGCGGAATATCTCCTCCGTTCCACACCTTTACGAGGATGGTATGGAGGTGCTGCCCCAGGACGAAGGGTTCGTCGTCATCGATCTTGAGCAACTCGGCATGGAGGGAGTCATGGCCGGGTGCCTTCCGGTTCTTGAGGCCGTTCGTTTCCCGTGCCACCTCCTCGAGTTCTGGCACATCTCTCAACCGTTGAGTGTCACGTGTCGCTGGCCGCTGCGTCACTCGTTCGACGATGTCTGGGTTCAGGTTAGGGGATTTGGTGTTGAGTAGGGTGCTGAAGAATCTCGCCCACCGCGGGAGGATGTTGTCTCTGTTCCGGAGCAACACGCCGCTCTCATTCGCGACGAACTGCTGTCCCCCCGCGTGTCTCCCGCTGAGGCCCACTGATCTCTTGAGGTGTTGGTACAGTCCTCGCATGTCGCGATCTTTGTAGATTGCTTCGAGTTCAGTCACATATCCGTCCAAGTGGGCATAAATGCCCGTTTCGACTGCTGTAGCCACTCCCTTGCACGCTGCTTTGAGAACCCTCCACGTTGCTGAGTTCCAGTTGCCCCTCATCGCCCGGCGCGCTTCCCGNGAGTTCAGTCACATATCCGTCCAAGTGGGCATAAATGCCCGTTTCGACTGCTGTAGCCACTCCCTTGCACGCTGCTTTGAGAACCCTCCACGTTGCTGAATTCCAATTGCCCCTCATCGCTCGGCGTGCTTCCCGCCGTTTGGTAAGGGCCTCCTCCAGCGCTGCTCTCGTCTCTGGGGTCTCACACCACTCCTGCGTGCGGCGTCTCCGCGGTTCCTCCCCTAGGGTCGTCCGCGCTGCTTCGAGGAGAGCATTGGTAAAATCGGTCACCCATTCCGCGGCGATGGTTGTTCGCTCGTCCAGTCGTGTGTCGAGGTTGAGGAGGAACCGATTAGTCACCGCACACCGTGCTGCTTCAAACTGCAATTCCCGTTGGATAAATTGCGTCTGTTTTGGTTTAGTCTGGACAACATGGTTGTGGGCAAGCCTGACACCGAGGTTGACGGTGGCTACTACCATATTGTGGTCTGAGTCTGCTTTGACTGGGCGAACCGGCCGGGGGATGACAACCACGTTGGATACTCGGCCGTGATCTGCCTGCCTTGTCAGGATGTAGTCAAGGCGCTTGCAATCAGTTCCCGACACACCGTTGTACAGTCGACCGCGCTTGAAGAAGACACATGGCTATTCCTGAAAAAAGCGTCCTTCAAGCCGGGTTGCGTCCTTAAAATTCAGGGGACGATAGCTCACCATCCCTGGGGCCAATGGAGGCATGCTATACCTCAAACTACGCGTCTTTTGCTAAGGAAGGGGGTGGTACGAAAAGTCAGCATCGCCGAGACGACTGGCAACCGTTTGTTGACGTCTAACACATTAACAATATTTGAAATGAGATGTACAGCAGTCAGGGACGTGTTGAAAACAACTACAGTACACCAGTTTGTACTTGGCCAACTAATGTACTGCACAGCCGGCAGCGGAAGGAGGAAAGTCCAAGTTGTTATATATCTATCTCATTCTTGTGAACACAAAAAAAAAACGAGCGCATTTCAGCGTCGCACCGAGGAACACCAGTACATATCACTGTCCCGGCGGAGACCAAAAGCTACCCTGATGGATTTTCCTTCCACATTGTATATATCGCGAAGAGTCCCTGAACCTCCCCCGGCGGCTTGGCTCTAAGACTCTGTTAAGTTTCATGAGTAAACGAATGAACGGTCTTCGAAAGAAGGTACTGCGTTTCACGGTACTCGCCACCCCTTCCCTTCGCGTACAAATACAGATAGCGCCCGCAGTTAGGAAAAAATCTGTTGAGAGAAAAGGCTCAACTTTAGGGGGCAGAGTCCCCCCCTCCCCCCCCCCGGCGCCCCTGCTGTTCACAGTGAGTGCTGTACTGTAGTACTGCCACACATCGCGGACAACCATATGCTCTCCGCTGTTGTACGGGTTTGATGGCACTCTCCACCACCTCTCTTGAGGGCTTGATGATGTGGATTGTCCCCAGAGATCAAAAGACAGAAAAAAGAAAATACGAAGTACTTGTTGAAGTCTAAGGAATAAGAGAATCGGGAGGATGCGACAGTCCAAAGGAAGAAGAAATTCAATTGACGACATGGACGACTTGGGTCGGTACTTCGACCCAAAAGAAGGGATTAGTGAGGCTCGAACCGATTTTGATATTTGGGGCTATCTGTAGGATCGAACATCCTCCAAGCGAGAGATAACCTCGCCCTCGGTCAGCGAAGAGGTTGTGCACGACTCTTTTTTTGGCGGCATCAGATGGACCGCCGGTAGATGGGAGGAATCTATCAATACCAACACCCAGTGGCAGCTGCAGCAGCAGACCGCTCGCTACTTCTGCTGTCTGTGCGTCGCTACTTCTGCACGAGCGGCCCGCAGGCCCGCAGAACACAAAAAGGGGGTACGCGGCAGAAAAAATAGGGGTACCCAATCATCGTATATTCTGCTGGGCCCCCGGTGCTCAGCTCAACAAGTTTCCTTTAAGCTGGGAGTTTCCTTGACGCGAGCGTCCTTAAAGCGGGGTCGACTGTATATGTTCCATGTTCCGCCCTTGCGTGTCTCAAAGAACGTGTTCGTGAGAGCTAGCCTGTTTTCCGTTGCGAAGTTCAACAGTAGCATGCCATTATCGTTGAGCTCATCACGCCCGTACATTCCTGTTACCCTTCTGTTCCCTCCGTCCAACCTATCTCCCGTCCGCGCAGTGGCGTCCATCAGGACATTCACACAATATTTGGAAGGGATCCTCAGCATGAGACTGTCAAGATTTTCCCAGAACACGACCTTGCTGTCGGCGGTTGAAGGTTCGGTTGGAGCATACGCGGCTACGAAGTTGACCGCTCCACGGTGGCCTGCCAACATAGTCTAAATCTCGTGGTCATAAGGCGTTCGTCGATAAACTCCGTAGTCAACGTGTATGTCTTCCACAGTGACTCTTTAACGGGTATCCCCACACCATGGACTACACCAGTCTCCGTGCCACAGCAGAACCACTCGGAAACCCGCTGCTGCAGATTCCGTTCGACCTGCCCTCCGTGTCTCCTGCATTCCTACCACCGACACGTCTTGTCTCGCTGCCTCGTGTAGAAAGCTGTAGGCTCGCCCGTATTCATTGGCCCCGTTTACAGTCAAAGTCCGCACATTCCAGGTTGCTACCCTAAGAAGTTGACCCTGCTATCTCTTTCGCGCTTCCCTCTTTTTTTGTTTTATTGCTACTTTCTAGCGAACACTCGGGCTAACGTGACAGTTACCCCGGTTCTTGCCTTGTTTCCCATGGAGTTGTCTGCTTGTCCCGGAGCGGTGTGGCTCTCCAGCTCTGAACTCTCTCCTTTTCTCTTTCTGGGGCATACCCCCACGGCGTGCGGTCACTCCGCCACCCTCACCGTGCTCTCTGCTGCTGCATGGCCCCGGTGTCCAAGCCGGGGTGTTGTAATCCAGCCTCATTTTGCAGCTACCAAACCTGGCGGTTCATGAGCTACCCCGATCTCACGACAGCAGTAACTCCCAACCGCCAAACTCAGGATCCCCCTCTCAACGGTCGTTGTTGTTGTTGTTTTTGTTGCATCTCACATTCGCTCTGTAGTCCACAAAAATGGGGAGCCCGTGGTCTCAAAACCCGGCACGCTAGGGACCGTATATCCGTCTTCGCTGGGTGGTCTTTCGAGGTCTAGATCCACTTGCGGAACCTCGGCCTACCCCAGGGACGTGGGGGGCAGGCCGGGGAGGAGAGGGTGGATACATATATATATATATATGTTTTCTTTTCTCCCATCATTGGACTCTGTCGTCTGCGCCTCTGGCCCCTATCCTCCACTTGTACCAGCTAGACGACCCAACCGGGGTCACATAGGAGGGGGGGGTTGGACCCCCTCCTGCGGTTCCTGCCTGAGATATTTTTATCGCGAGAAGGGTACAGCAATCCCTTCCCTCGCGACTTATGAAGTCGATCAAGTTTACTAACAACGAGCTTTGCAGCGCATCACTTCCAATGGAGACCAGGATTTACATAGCGAGAAAAAACTCACTCTGTCGGTACTCGAACCCATGACCTGGCCCTTAGCAGGCGGCGAGGGTACCCACTAGACCACCGGGGCGACCGGTGTGTGTGTGTGCTACTCGGGGTGATGCTCGTGTGTAAACAGACCAAGAAACCCCTCGATCCTGATTCCGGTCCGCTGCAAAGCAAGCCGAAAGACAGCCAAGCAGTAGCCTTTTGGTTCTACATGACCACGAGAAATGCGCAGTAGCACGCGTGCAGATACATACAGAGGTGGACGCCAAGCTTTTATGTATACCGAAGCGGCTGTGCAACGGCCGAGGTGAGCCTGCCCAAGGCACTGTGCGGCAATCAATCGTTGCCAACGAGGAACGGCGGAGCAATCACTATTCTACATCTTTGCTCTCCTTCCCGCCTGCAGCAGTACCTGGGCCATGGTCTGAGCCTTGAACGAGTTTATCCCTTGACTCGGCAGCCTATTGATATGTCGGAGGATAGTCCTCAGGTCTGCCAGAAGCACAGCCTTGGACATAGCTGGCAGAGGAGAGGAGCAGCAGTGGGAGGTAGGTTGGTTGCAGTGGCAGTGTGTGGTAGCCAATGGTACTGACAATAATGGTTTTTTGTCATATACTATTGGTCTAGCAGGCGCGAGAGATACAATGGGGGGGGGGGGTATTTTTCTTTGAAGGCCCCCTGCGACTGTCCGAGCGAGAGCTGTGGAAATATGATTAATCTCGCTTATTCGCCTTGCGCGATGCGGATACAGGCGCTCACCCTGGTCAACCAGAGCGATGAAGGGGGGGAAGGAAGATGGGAGACTCGGGAGGTCGATGCCAAGCTCACGTTGCCGAAGATCACTTCGGCGGCGCTGCTTTGGTCAGATCTCTCGAAGGATAACTTGATTTCAGGTACAGAATTCGCTGCTTTTTCTGCTGGCCTCTGCTGTTGCTGCTGGTTTCTGAAAGAAAGGGGTTTATTGTACGCTCTGCTTCCTGCATACGTGCAATGATGACGTTTTGATACGAGGGCGAGCGCCGTTGCAGGAGGCGTGAAGATGCTATAGCCCTCAGCATTCAATCCAGGGCGGGTACTGTTGGTTTGATACACTCGTGTGTGCAGCAGAGTTTAAGCTTTGCCAGGTGCGGAAAGTTTCCACCCCTCCTCGGAAACTTTCTTATTTTGACGGACCGTGTGCTCGCGGGTGTGCTGCCTCGCACCATTTTTTCATGGGCTCTTTTTTTTCTCCGAGCCCTGATGACTCTTCGAAACTACCCACACAGCCAAGCCAGACCTTGCCCGGTGTCTTGTTGTCTCACACTCTCACACCACAAATATCATGCTTCGTCGTCATGCAGTTCGCGCGGTACGTTTGTCAGCGTGTCTTTCGTAGTGTCAAATGGACTGCCTTCCAAGGCAGCACCCACGGCGCATACTACGGACGGTTGGCATGTACATGTTCGGAGAGATCGTTACGGGCGACGGTATGTAAACAACAGATATCATATCCCACCAAGCAGGTCCTGCTTTTACTCTACTTCCCGTTCTGAGGAATGTGGTGTATGCAACGCCCTCGCGCAGGATTGGCAGATGGGCTCCGAGACTGCCCGTTGGTATGCGTTCCATCATGTCATCCGGAATTGGTTCTGTCCATGCCCTTTGGATAACATGCATCTCTAGATTTTAGGAAAAATGCTCTAGATTTGACTTTGAACACCACGCAAGAGCTGCCGTGCCAAAGAGTGCATTCATTGCCTGAAGAGTTGTCAGCATTAGACAATACCCCCAGCCCAACATACCCTTTTGAGAACGCCCCCTCACCTACCGCCCCAAAAAAAATACCGCCGGCGAAGCACAACAACAACACCCCGACTATTGTTATGCCAATCGTGTCTTTTGTGACCTCTCTATTTCTCCCCGTCATCTACATACTGTATCTACCTCAGAGTTGCGCTTTTAGTGTTGCATATACAATATTTCGTCTACTGCTGTACGTGTAGTGCTGCCGCGCGCGAGATGTTCACAGAAAAATCGCGGTATTCATGCGCGGCAGCGTTTTCTCGTCGTCGCCATAGTCTTGATCGTTGTCATTGCCAGCATAGTGGGCTCCTGCGGAAAGGTCGGCGGCACAGCAGTGTTCGTGTGTATTGCCGGGGAGTTTTTACCTCCTGGGCAATTGTTTTTTGTTCACCGTGTTGTTTTTTGCACCCCGCTACTGCCTCTGAGAACGCTCTGTGAGCGTGGCTGGCTGGTCGTGCACCTCATGTAAACGCATCATGCCGTAGTCGTTAGACCAAGAACATTGATCTCGCTTCCCCGTAGGGAGGAGCGATATTCCGGGTTTTCGCCGGCCCAGGCTACGTTTCCAGAAGCT